ACATTGAATGGAGCCACGGTCGCGCGCGAAGAGCGCATTGCAAACCAAAGACTACATATATGATGGGGCGTTTGCGAAGAATATTAGTTTAAAAAAGTTTTTAGAACTCGTTAAGTCGCAACTGTGAAAGTCGAAATATTTAAAATAAATTTTCTAAGATGATATTTCATATGACAAAAAATATTTTAATTACTTTTCCATAAAGGGTAAAACATTAAGTCGTTCTAAGCATTACTTCTCATCTGTGTTTATAACACAAGTAAAAAAAAGAAAAAAAGAAAGATGTCGGCAGCTGAAATTGAACTTGCGGTGCTTAGATTTCTGGTCAGACGTTCTAACCCCTAGGCTACTCGGACAGGGTTAGAACAATTTTCTGGTCATTTTAGAAAATGTTTCCTATGTTATAGAAAATATTTCTATATTTTGGGATTAATTTTTATGTTTTAGAAAATATTTCTATATTTAAGAAAATATTTCTATATTTAAGAAAATATTTCTATATTTAAGAAAATATTTCTATATTTAAGAAAATATTTCTATATTTAAGAAAGCGTTTCTATTTTTTAGGGTTATCGTATTTTTATGGTTAATTTGAGAAAATTTTTCTATTTTTTAGGGTAAATAATTTTTTAGGGCAGAATTTCTAATTTGAAGAAAAAAATTTATAAAAATAAGTACAATTTTTACTAAAATATAGAAATTCTTTCTTGGATTTAGGGTGAGTTCAGTTTATGGCGACAATTTCTACATTTGAGAAACACTTTCTTGATTTAAGAAAAGTTTTCTTGTTTTGAGAAAAAAATTTCTTGAAAATAGAAATCTTTTCTTGGATTTAGAAAAAATAAAGTTTTAGGGCGAATTTCTAAAATTTAGGGTTAATTTTGCTATGAGTGTAGGAAACAATTTATATAGAAATTATCCCAGGTTATTCGTTCCACATACTTAGGAAGCAACTGCCGAGAAAACAAATTTGCTTTTCATTTTCTAAGAGGTGTACTAAAAATTGTAGAGGAACGCAATATTTCCTTTTTGTCAAAAGATTATATAAGTTAGCTATAAATTTAACTATACGAAATAGTGCACCAAATATATCATCTGAAACATCCGAAACGCGTTTTAACTGTTTGTAATTAAACTTTTTTAATATACATTGTACATTTTTAGAAACTTAAGTTAATGAAATAAATGTTCTTTAAAATTTAAAAACATTTTTTGAATCGAAATAACATATAAAGTTTGTAACACCCAACAAGTCATTTTTAATAATTTTGGCTTATGTTTAAATCTATTAAATTATACACGGAACTAGTTTTTGTTACGTCCGGCTTATCGAATCGCTGCCAGACAGCTATCTGTCCAAAAAGTTAAGGACAAGATAAGCTTGTCGTAAAAGCAAATCGGTTTTCTCGACGTCTGTAACTTATTTGAACGAGAAAGCATTTCAGAGTGCTGTTAAGCACATAATTGAAGCTCAATCAAAGAGTTGCATTGATTGGGTCTTTTTGGTCTGGTTTCTGAAATCAGCTGTCACTTCATCAGGCAGAAAAAGTCTTAACAGGGATTTTAGGCCTTGCTAATGTTAGCTCTCACATATTCGCTCGAGAAAACCTAATTTTCTTAGCAGCGACTTCTTCTGTTTGAGAAATATTGACAAAGAGACGAAATATTGGACCTTAGTCTTTTAAATTTAGACCGTTAATTAAGGTTAGTTAAGGCCTATGGCTTAATAATTATGAATAATTTTAAAAAAGGTTTAGCAAAAAACAAATTTTATCAATTAACTTCAACGAAAATATATTTTCTGTTTATTGCCTTTTACTTTAAGTTGTTAGATATATAATTGGAATTCAGGAAATACCTAAGGGGTACCCAAAATTAAAATTTAACCTAAGCATCGACAACTGAAATAATTTTGTAGGTTATTTTTGTACTAAGAAAATAACATTTGAGTGTTGTTTGGAATTTTAAGCAATAAAGCGGAAGGTGTATTATACATATATTTGGCTGTCTTTCCTAAGACATCGATGCTCCTTATGAGACGGACGCACGCACACATTTACGTCAAATTATGCAAATTTACAACATGATTAAGCTCGTTTAGCTGGACTCCCGTCAACGTCTATATATGTGGTAGCATACACCAATGTCGTCAACGCTGGGTCTACTCTCGTGTTTGTTTTGCAATTCAAATGAATTTGCTGAGGTTGGGCTTGGAACGGAGCCTAAAACTGGAGATAAAGCTGCGACTGATACAGAGGCAGTGCTGGCGAGATTTTCATTGTTGGAATATGTTAACCGGATAAAATAGGTATTCAATTTTCAAATACTGTAATACACTTTTTATAAACTAATTTAAGCCAAAAATCTTGTTATTTACTAAGCTTAGTTTGCTTGTTCATTTTTTCCATTTTTTTTTAAATATATATAACATATATGTGTGGCTAATTATATAAAATAATAAATTTTTAACTTCTGAACTTAAAACAATAAAAGATATAACATGAAATAAGATTTTGCCCTGCTGTTTTAAGGATCTTTACAAAATATTATTTTTGGGAGACTGGCACTGACAGCACTGACTGGGCAAAACCTCTCTAACTCTCCTGAAATTTCGGGATGTTTGTTTCAACGTTTAGTTGCGAGTTGCTGGGTGGGAAACCTCCTCCTATTTTCTCTATATATAAATTCGTACAAATTGTTCAATGGCCGTTCGCTCTGTTCCTTTGGCCAAAGTATCAATTGTTTGGCATTGGTCTTTATTTATGCATTGTTTTTGGCATTGTTGTCGGCATTGTTGGTCTGGCCTATCCGATGTCTGCGTGGTGGTCTGTGTGTTTTATTGCTTATGGTTATAGTGGGGATATGGCCGACCGTGCTCTGAATGAATTTATATTGTTTTTGAAGTGTTTAAATGTTTGTCCGTGTTTGCCACAGGGCGCTAGCACACTGGGCGTATGCGTAATGCGAATTTATGCAGGCTTAATGTTATGGCAAGTGCCCTAGAATGGAAATTTCGTCGCCTCAGCGACTAGAGATTGAAACTTATGCAAATAGGGCTTTAATCAAGATTCGACTTGAGTGTTAATTAAATAAGACAAAGTCAACTTTAATTTGCAGATAATAGACTCGAGGAAAGTATTAAATATAAGTTTATTTGCGATCTTTCGGCCTTCCGATACTTGTTGTTTACCCAGAAGCCCTCTCAGGTCTTAATTATTTTTTCCATTTACGCTTGCTTGGCTCAATCTTGGCCTTGGCTATAAGCCGTAACCAAAAGCTGACTAAAGAGCCGCAACAACTTTTGCAAATCAATATTAATTGCTCAGACTCACTCAACCATAAATTCATTTAAAAAACCAAAGCTGCAGGGTTGCTGGAAAAGCGTGCAGAAAGAAAACAACAATCTGTTATATTTTCACTATTTATGCTGGGGGCTTCCACCGCTCCTTTGCCGATTTACTTCTTTCCACTCTTTTGACCGATTGTCGAGTGGAGAAAAACTTTTGCAACTTTTACGCTGCATTTGTGTGGCATCCTTTTTGTCGTCCCTGCAGTCGGACTAATACCTCTGCGCCCCGCTCTTCTCTGGCATCATGTGCTTATTATAAAATAATTAAGTCCTTTAGGAAATTGTAGTTTTTGTTGCCTTTGCTTCGGTTTCTGTTGTCGTATTTCCCCGACTCATGCAATCTGCGACCGTTTTCTTTTCGTTCTCCGTTCTTTTCTGAGCTGTGGCCTTGCTTTTTCACTTACTTGTGTGCCTATTCAATAAATTGAGGAAAATGCAGAACAAATTTTTCATACTTTACCTAAAGAAAAGGTAAAATAAAAATTACAGTGATTCTAACTGAATGCATTCATGAATTTATTTAGAAGTGTATGTGAGAATTTTAAGTTTCTTTAATATAGACACAATCTTTTATTAAAATACAGGTTATTTTCAGAACCTTGTCAGTATATCCTGTCCTACATAACTGTTTGAAAATAGACAAGAATTAGATTTCCCTCGAACAGGTTTAAATTCGAATTTAATTGCGGTAATTAGCTCTGCTTAAAACAGCTTTCCCAGTTGACACTTCTTATAAATAACAGATTAAGGCCAGTTGGATTATCAACTTTTCCCCACTCGTACGGACTTGCAGTCCTGCCGTCCCATTGCACAATCTCATTCTAAGCTGTCATATAAATGTGATTATACCGACCCACCCGACTCTCCGTCGTACCGCCCTTTTTCCGCAGTCGGACATTATGACAACTTAATTGAAGGTTATGCGTGACCTCAGTCCCTGCCAGGACATGCGTGGCCAGCAACACAAAGCTTAGTGCAGGACACTGATCACGCATCCAATTGCATCAAATGTGATTACACAATTATGTTGCGGTTTAGTACAACAGTTGGCTAGCCATTTAATAAGAAGGTATGGATCGGAAAATGAAGTGACTTAAATTTCCTTCCTATCCGATTCAGAGAGTTTAAAAGGGATATTATAATTGGCTTCCTAAAACTCACCTGTAAGGCTATCGATTAAGGCAAATTTTAAACTACACTCTTTAATAATTTAATAGAAAAATCGTAACCCTTCAGATCTTATGATTGGACTTGGGAAATTCTCGCTCGCTAAATGAATTGTCCTCTGCGAAACTAACCGTTTCCCGCCCCTTAAAAGCTTGTCAGTTAATAGAAAACAAGTGACACCGCCTCCAGCCAGCTTCATAATTAAGTCTAAATGAACAGCACGCCCGATGCAGGAAGCCCATTCCGACCCCAACCAAGGAACTGACCAAAACGGGCGGAATGGTGGAGGGTCAGAGTACATGCAAGTGTTTGCAGTTTAATGGAATTTTTAATTTCTGCCCGCGTCGGAGCTCCAGCTCTGGGAATAGCTGACATTATTACAAATTTTTTACTATTATTAAAAATGCAGAAAACATTAAAAGCGACACAAATTTGTAGCCGAAAGTCGTGCCGGGGCAGCTGAAGCTGAAGAGGGGCAATATGATTACTTAAGTGGACATGGCGCCCAACCCAACCGAAGGTCCGGAAGCCAGTGCAGAAAGAGTTCCAGCAAGAAGACCATTGCACTGGCCAACATGGCGAGTACCAGGGCAAAAAGCGCCGGAGCGAAGTGCTCCAGATCCACTTCTGCTTGCGAGGTTTTAAACAGGCTGCAATCTGGCCGGGGCACCAGCCACTTCTTGTTGTTGTATTGCATTAGGCCACTAGCTCGAAGGCGGAGCAGGGCGTGGGCCAAGTGCTCCCTCCAGGGAGAGCCCTTGGACATTACGGATCCCGCTTCGTACAGTGGGTTGAACATTATCTCCTGGAGGTCGCAGAACTCACCCTCATCCATGTGAAGCTCCAAAAGCAGCCTGTACAACCGATCGATGGCCGAGTGGAATGCAAAGCGACCTTGGATGATCCTTTCAGCTCCCTGCTGCAGGGTTAGAATGTTGTGCTCCCCAGGTTTGCATATTTTCCTTGCATACACATCCCTAACCAGCTGGTTACTGGTGTTGGTAAAAAGGGCAAAGTTGTAGGATATGTTTTCCATCCCGATCACCAGATTGCTTTCATATAGTGCCTGCAGACTTACAATACTCCTCGAACTTTCGGACAGTAGGGAGCCGACTATAAATGCGCCGTAAAACTGCATCAACACAAAACTGAATATGCAACTAAGGCTGATCAGTAGTCGAGTGGAAAATAGTTGGAAGGTCTCAGTGGCAGGGCCCTGTTGCAGATAGGTTTCCAGTATAGTAAACCAAACGAACGACAGACGGTTCTCCACGTGGGATAGCACCCGCTCCAGCCTCAGGTGAACCAGTAAAAGTAGAGCACTTCCAGTGACCAAGCCCAGGACACACCACCAAACCTGGCTGCTCAACGGCTCGAAGAATATGTTCCTGATGTGACTGCGACGTGGATGACGGAAGAGAAAGTGAATGCTGCGGAGGAAGCACTGTTCTGAGATTGGTCCCAAGCCAAGTTCAGTGTGATTAACTCACTTTTGGGTGTGCAGCACCGCCGAATATTGGACGTAGGGCTGTCTGTCCAGCACAAAGCGAATGGGACACACTGCAAAGTCCGCCGCGCCACTCGTCACCTGACCCATCACTCCCGACCAGCTGCCATTCTCCAGCAACTCGCCCCACATATCCGTGAATCTGATGTCCAAGCTGCACCGGAAGAAAAAATAAGTCATTCTATCATAACGAATTTCACATATCATTGCTGTTAAAATCACTACACTAAAAAATGCTCACAAATCCAATCAAGACCTTTTAAGATGAGATGTATTGACTAAAATGTTCGAGACTAATACAATTACTTTTATGTAGTTGAACTTCTAATACCAAATTACTATGACCTTGTTTGTCAAAACCGTTAATATTTTTCTTAAAGCTTAAACATATTGGTGTTTTTCAAAAGCCAATAGTCATAATTCTTTCCTTTTGCCCTACATTTATTCTTTATCTTGTGACACAACAACAGATTTTCTGGGAAAGTAATTGTTGAAAATATTAGTATATGCACCACTGTATATCTTGTCCTTCTTTGGTTTCTTGCACGAAAGTAACGGTGCGTTCTTTTGTGTCTCTTCTTTAAGTTATTGTTCTGCCTGCGTGCAGCATTTTTTCGTTTTTTAGTCTCTAATAAATCGTCAAACCGAATAGGTTATGGGCCCAGCAAGCTAAACAATCTGCGTATAATAATCGAAGAGATTAGATGTTTAGAGATTCGGTGGTGGTTCAATAAAATGAACAAAATGAGTTCACAATACTCAATAGAAAAACTGGATAATGAAAATTATAGTTCATGGGCAGTGCAGATGAAAAGTTTGCTAATACACTCGGAACTTTGGTCAGTTGTGTGCGGTCGTGAAATTAAAAACGAAAGTGGAACTGTAGAACAACAGATAAACTTTGATGTAAAAGATGAAAAGGCCCTCGCGAGTATTTTCTTGGGTATTAAGTCATCGCAGATTAACTATGTTAAACACTGCAAATCATCAATGGAAGCTTGGAAAAAGCTGGCTAGTGTTCACATGCCTTCTGGACCGGCCCGTAGAATACAGTTATTCAAACAGTTGCTGTACATGAAGATGTCAGAGTCAGACAGTATCACAGTGCATTTGAGTAATTTTAGTGACGTGATTGAAAAACTACAAGAAATTGATCAAATAGTGCCAGATGAAATGCTTGTAATAATTCTGTTGTCAAGTCTATGTGATTTGTACGAAAATTTCGTAGTCGCTATTGAAACGCGTGATTCTTTGCCTTCCTTGAGTTCTCTGAAAATAAAATTACTGGAAGAGGGAGAACGACGAAAAGTGAGTGACAAAACGGCCGATGTAACGGAACAGAAGATGTACGCGTCGCGCGCCGAAAAGGGAAGAGACAAGTATAAGAAAGACATGAGAAATGTGGAATGCTGGAACTGCGGTCGTCATGGACATGTTTCGGCAAAGTGCAAAGAGAAACCCGTAAGATCGGAAAAAGACAGCAATAAAGAAAAGAAACGCGAAGAGAACAAAAAGTCTTACAGTGTTTTCGCTGCAGCAGCAGATCAAGTAGGACTAACGGAAAATATTTGGTGTGTGGACAGTGGGGCAACAGCCCATTTATGTGCAAACAAATCATTATTTGTTTCAATCCGTGAGCATAAAGAAAAAATAATGCTAGTTGGAGAAAATTACATTGAAGCTGAAACTATATTGGCAAGAAAACATTATCGAATTGGTTGATGTGTTGTTCGTAAGAAATCTTCAGTGTAACTTTATTTCCGTGTCAAAAGCAACGAACAAAGGGTTCGAAATATGTTTTTCGAAAAGAATTGCATGCATCAAAAATAAGAACGATGAAACGGTGTTGAAAGCAAACAAAAAGAATGACTTGTTTATTGTCGAAAATGAAAACAAAATGGCATTTGCTGCAAACGGGAAAATAAACCAAGTAATAACGTGGCATAACAGATTCGGACATTTGAATTTCCAAAGTTTAAAAACAATGATTAGAAAAAATTTAGTGTATGGTCTTGATGGTGTTACTGATAACATAAATGACTTTGTTTGCAAGACGTGTGCAAAAAGCAAGATTTGCGTAAAACAATTCCCAAAAATGTCAGAAAATCGTTCGAGTAAAGTGTTGGATCTGATTCATACGGACGTATGCGGTCCTATGAGTACCGTTTCTAAAGGAGGAGCGCGATATTTTGCTACATTTATCGACGACAAGACGCGTTACGTATCGGTGTATTTGCTAAAAACAAAAGATCAAGTTTTCGACAAATTCAAAGAATTTAAATTGTTGGCTGAGAAGCAAACTGGACAGCAGATTAAAGCCATACGGAGCGATAATGGTAGAGAGTACATCAACGGTGCGTTTGAAAATTTTTTTGTTAAGTCATGGGATTAAGAGGCAGCTTACCGTTCCCCATACTCCGCAGCAAAATGGCGTTGCTGAGCGTGCCAATAGGACGCTAGTTGAAATGGCAAGAAGTATGATGGTTCATTCCAGTGCTGGCGAATCACTATGGGGGGAAGCGATAATGACAGCGATGTACTTGAGAAACAGATCTGAAACGTCTACATTACCAGATATGACTCCGTACGAAGCATGGTTTGGGAAAAAACCCGGAGTGTCCCACCTGAAAGTTTTTGGTACAAAGGCCATAGTTCTAGACAAGACAAGGAAAAGAAAATTTTCTCAGAAAGGGATAGAGCATATCTTGGTTGGTTACTCAGAAACTGCCAAAGCATATAGGCTCTTCAATCCTGATACGCAAACTATCAAGGAAGCCCGGGATGTTGTGTTTCTTGAGCACGATGTGATTAAAAACGAGGATATTTCGTCCGTGGATTTGACTGAGAACTCAAACATATTGAATGTGCAGACAGAAGGTGAGCAAGATGAAAATAACGAAGATCCAGAAAGGGATGAACGGTCAGAGGTCAATGATGATGAAGACGAGTTACTTGAGCACGGCAACCGAGTCCAGAGAGGCCCAGGGAGGCCGAAGTTAATCCATACGGGAAAGCCAGGACGACCACGTAAGGAATACAATAAGCTAAACGCTATTGGAGTTGCCAACATCCAAGTGCCGAGCGGAGTCAAGGAGGCGCTGAGCATGGAACATGCAGAAGAATGAAAGGCAGAGATGCAGAAAGCGTATTCTCAACTACAGTCCAGCAAGACATGGAGTCTTGTTGATCTTCCTGATGGCGAAAAGACTATTGGTAGCAAATGGGTCTTTGCCATCAAGGGTGACCAGTATGGCAACGTGGAACGATTCAAGGCTCGCTCGCACAGAAACATTTTCCCCCGTGGCACGGTATTCTTCCATCCGATTGGTGATTGCACTGGCTGTCGAAAATAAAATGTTTATGCACCAAATGGACGTCTCATCTGCGTATCTCAACAGTGACCTACAAGATGTAGTATACATGCGGCAGCCTGAGGGATTCGTAGACATAGCGTATCCAAAACGTGCTGAGGTTGCACAAGCCGTTGTACGGTCTGAAGCAGAGTGCACGGGAATGGAACCAGAAATTGGATAGTACTCTTCAGCATATTGGTTTTGTCCAGTGCCCTAGTGAGCCATGCATTTACACCAAGAAAATTGGCGAAAATCTTAGCATAATTGTTGTATATGTTGATGATCTAATTATTGTTTGTTCCAGAAAAGAAGACCTTGTCAAAATTAAACTTCAAATCACACAGGAATTTGATGTAGTAGATGGCGGAGAGCTGAACCATTTCCTGGGCATGGAAATCGAACGGAATGGAGAGACGGGCAGCGTGACGATTGGTCATAAGCAGTATATCGACGGGCTGTTACGAGAATATGGCATGGAAGACTGTAAGCCGAACGCCACACCTTTGGAGGTTGGTTATCAGAGCATATGTACTGTGGATGACTGCCCAAAAGCTAACCAAAAGCAGTATCAATCACTTATTGGATCATTGCTGTACTTAGCCATGACCACAAGACCAGACATTGTACATTCCGTGGCAAAGTTGGCACAGAGGTGCAGTGACCCCCATAAGGAACATGAGGTGGCTGCTAAGAGAGTCCTTCGCTACCTAAAAGGAACTTCGGGCTTGCAGTTGCATTATGCTCGATCTGGTATTCCTGTTCACTGCTATGTCGATGCAGATTGGGCAGGAGACAGCATAGACCGCAAATCATTCAGCGGTTGGGCGTTCTTCATAGCTGGAGCAGCGTTTTCGTGGGAGTCAAAGAAGCAGAGCATCATAGCACTCAGTAGCACGGAGGCAGAGTATGTAGCGCTTTCAACATCAGCTAAGGAGGCTGCTTACGTCCAGAAAATAATATCTGAATTGGGTTTTAAGACGGCGTCAACATTGATGATCTACAGTGATAATCAGAGCGCTCAATGTTTAGCTAAGAATGCTACTTTTCATGCTAGAAGTAAACACATAGATATTAAGTATCACTTTATAAGAGATTTATATAAGAAGAAAGTCATTGATATTGAATATGTACCAACCGAAAATATGATTTCAGATGTGTTAACTAAGAATTTAAGTAAAGTTAAGCACATAAAATGTATAAGTTCGCTAGGGTTAAACTGAAAAAGAACCACATCTAATTAGTAAGAACAGCTAAAAATGAAGATAAATTGAATTAAGTACCAAGTTTTCTCTGTTATATTAGATATACCGCGGTGAGAAGGAGTGTTGAAAATATTAGTATATGCACCACTGTATATCTTGTCCTTCTTTGGTTTCTTGCACGAAAGTAACGGTACGTTCTTTTGTGTCTCTTCTTTAAGTTATTGTTCTGCCTGCGTGCAGCATTTTTTCGTTTTTTAGTCTCTAATAAATCGTCAAACCGAATAGTAATTTCTTTTAATCGCATTTTTCTGTGACTGAATGCGCAATAATTAGCGCCTATTTCGCTGAGAAATTCACAGACCCACCTGAGATTGAACATGCGCTCAACGAGTTGAAACAACTGATAGGTCTTCCGCTGCATGGGATCCAATTGCAGGAGGCGCCTATCGTCCGCCAGGTATTCCATGTCTTCGAATCCAGGAGGCTTTTCTGTCAACTAGGGGAAATGGGTGGTTGGTGAAAGTCGAGAGGTGTTAGGCAAGACCATCTCACCCACCACAGTACTGCCTATCAGAGTGACATTAAGGAAGTTTCGCCTCCGAACTACCCAGGTGTCTTTAAACTTTTCCAGGACTTGATATCCTCCAGAGACAGACCATTTTCCCTTCTTTTCGATTATCAGAGGTGTTGGAACTCGCTGACTGATTCTGTACACATCATATAGGAGCCAAAATGTGCTGCAAATGTGGTTTTTAATTAATCAGGTTTATTCTGTGAAAATAGCAAGAAGATAGCTTCGGTCTTGAGGTTTCTATAAAAATTTATAAGTCAATACATTTATTCCACCGATTTCATTTTCTTAAATTATGTAATATATCTTATATTCCTTATTTTCTTCTTTATCTTACGAAACAAATAAACTAAACTAACTAAAAAAACAATTTTCGCTACTATAAAGCCGTTTGATTTTTGTAATCTATTACTGAAACCAAACCATATTTTTATCTCAAGTTCAATGCGTATATGTTTAATACTTTAAAACCAACGAAGCTGTAATTTTAATATTCATATTCCGATTGCTTTTAATCCAGATAGCTTATAAACTAAATGACTAGTTTGCGTTAAAACGGACATTCAGACATGGCTAGAACGACTTGACTGATGGTCCTGACCAAGACTTAAGTTATAAATATTAACTTGTAAAACCTTTTGGTTGAGCTGTTACCGATAATTATTTGAACGATTTAATTAAACGTGTTAACCCAATTTGTACGCAAGGTGCATAGTACTGGAAAGGGAAGCGTGCTGTGTTGCATATATCTTCAGCTTCAAATGAGATGATGCACTGCCTCACTTATCTTGACCCCTCAGGGCTACCGTGATATCCGCATCAATGCCCATGCCGTAGCCACTCAAGTGCCGCTCAATCAGCTGCTCATCTGCCAGAGATTCACGGCTAGAGCCGAGAATAAACCATGCCAGCGAGTTGTTGAAGTATCCGGCCTCAGAGGCCACCCCGAGCACCCGGCTCCTCACAAGGACATGCTCGAAACTCAGCACCAGGACCGCCATGCGCGGAGACCCGTGGAAAACGAGATCCTCGAAGTTCGCCGACATTCCTGGCCGGTAAAATTGCACACGATAGTTGGACAACAATTTCTGGTGGCATTCAATTCTCCAGTCGCCAACACCATCGCCATCGCCATCAGCATCATATCCGCGGACGACCAGGACCTGGCTCAAGTGCTCTGAACGCAAAAAGTCCTCGAAGGCTGCCAGCTCAAGAAAATTGGTATTTATGCTTTCAATTTGCAGCACGCGTAAAAATGCTGTTAAAATTATAAGAGGCCAAGAAATAACTTTCACTTGCAACTTAATCATTTTATATGGCCACTTTAGCACCGACTTCTTTCCAGGGACTTGTGTTTGCTTTGTGCGGGGCCACTGACGTTTTTATAGGTTTCATTTTCCGCTGCATGTGCATAATTTATTCACATTAATCATATCGGTGTGTTCTGGACTCATGCAAATTGTGCGGTTGACAAGAAAATTATTGTGAAGATGCATAATACGCTGAATACTTTGAAAGGAATGTGAGAATTGTGCAAGTGCTGCACGAAATAATTAAATAAATTAAACAATTTTCCATAGAGCGTTCAAGGGGGGTGAACTTTTAAAAGTCAGCAAGCACAAGTTGTATATGTGCTTGTTACATAAATAAACAAGAGAGAACGCTATAGTCGGGTGCCCCGACTATCAGATACCCGTTACTCAGGTAAAGGGAGTGCGAGGGAGATGGAGATAGAAACTTTGATCACGCATAACTTTTTAACGAATGGTCCGATTTGAAAAATTTTTTCTACATTTCGATAGGTAATGATAAACACAATAAAACTGCATTTTTACTTTTCCGAAATATTTAAATTTTTAAAATCGTATATAAGCGATTGTGGGCGTTAAAGGGGGCGTGGCACCTTTTTGAAACAAACTTGCGCTGCGTAGGAACTCCTAGAATCTGCATGCAAAATGCCAATCTTCTAGCTTTTATAGTTTCCGAGATCTCAGCGTTCATACGGACAGACAGACAGACGGACAGACGGAGAGACGGACAGACGGACATGGCTATATCGACTCGGCTAGTGACCCTGATCAAGAATATATATACTCTATAGGGTCGGAAACGCTTCCTTCTAGCTGTTACATACTTTTGCACGAATACAATATACCCTTTTACTCTACGAGTAACGGGTATAAAAACATGGATGACTTTTTCCGTATCCTATTGCGATTTCAGCCACTTGTTTAAATAAAGTTTAAATGTGGTTTTATTAAGAGCTTAAAAGCAGATGCTTTTAGTTAAGCTGAAATATTTAACATCCCCACCAGAAAACCTTTATTCAAATTTTGGTATTTAGAATTAAATTAAAAATTATGTAGATTTCTAAATTATTTGACGTTTTATAGAGCTCAAATGCTTTTGCAGTTTTGTAAATTTAAAAGTTATATTGTGATGAAAAGTTAAAACCGTGTTCCCGCTTTAAATTGGTGGCTCGCCAATGTCCGGACTCCGTTGCCACATCGATCAAAGCTTCATCAACTCCGCAAAGCCCCCGTTTGGAGTTGCACCTAGCAGGAAGTGGGCTCCCGCCAGCATATACCAAAAATCCAATAACCCGACGCAACATTAAGCAGGACAAAGCTGGTGGCATTAGCGTGACATTATCCTACTGCAGCCAAGAAGCTACGAGAAACGACAAAAACGCGTGTTAGCATCCACGAAAACGGAGCCAAGGACCTTAGGGTGGTGTGGGTCTGGGCAAGTGTGGCGCAGAAAATGTTACGAAGCTTGAAACTTGAAGCAAATCCTGCAGCCTGCAACTTAATTTCATGGCACGCGGCATGCAACTCGCAGGCAACTTCATTCGGGCAATTTGCTTCACGACAGCGTGCCACGTGCCAAGAAAATAGAGGGGCAGATAAGATGGTCGAAATGGAGGCGAGATGGAGTCCTGCAAGGACTTTAAGACGCTCCGAAATTAAAAGGAATTACATTCAATTTGTTGACATTTTTGCGGATGCGGATGCGGATGCGGATGCAGCTCGCCCTTTTGTCTCTGGCATCCTTTTATGCCCTGCTTAGCTGACTTTCGCCGGTAATGACAAAAAACATTTTGCACAAGGCCGCATGCAAATGAGCAGCAAAAAACTGAAACAGCGGCGGGAAGAACAAGGCCATTCAAATGTATTCATTGCGAACAGGGGAAATTCGCTGGCATTTTATCGCAAGATTTCCATCGAATACGCGAGTTGCTTGCTTAAAAATCTCGAGAGCACGGAAATTCTGTCTTCACACATGCAGGGAATGACAAAAGCAAGTGCGCATACGCCCTGTTGCAGGCGAGCGAAACGTTTAAAAATTCCTTTTTAAATTCGGTGCTTGTATTTTCCACTGCCTCTTCTTTCGTGACATTTTCTCACACATGGCAGATGTTTTCACATTTGTAAATGTGCAAGACTATGTGGAAAAATTCATTAAATTTTTCATATGAAAATATAATGTGCGCTGTTGCCATAATAAAAATTTTATATAAGACGCCGCAGGTAAATTTTATATGATTTAAAAGTCTTATATGATTTAAAATAATTAAATATGAAAATTGTACTACCAAATTAGTTTTTCAAAATGAATAAATAAATATTTTATGGTTTTCCTCAAAGAAATACAAATCTTATTGGTCAATAAAAATACGCTGTGTTTAAATAAAGCAGATTCCCTTTAAATTCTGAGAATGGAATTCAGTTTCTTCAATTAATGTAATGCCCCAGACCATTACAATAAAATGTAAGGGAGCTACACAAAATAAACAACGAAACATTTTAATTAATTTCGCTCCCAAAACTGGGGATACTATTATTATTATAATTAAATATGATTTCTTTAATAAATTACAAATTCTTCGTTCTCCGTTTTATTTTTGCTTATAATTATTTTTACGTCCCAACTGCGGGGGATTTTAATTGTAGGTAAGTATGCTGGCAGCCGGAAAAAACTTGTCCATGGGCCAAATAAAAGCAGTCGACAAAAAAGGAAGCGGAAAATCCCTGGCAGCGATGGGACGAAGCTCAGAATAAGTCCCTCGAAACGACGACAACAATATGCGACTCATTTTTTTGGCCTGCAGCAATATAATTATTGAAAAAAATTTGGGTAAATTTTTACAAATCTTCAACTTTACTTTTTCCGCGTAAATTATTTGCATTCGTTTTAAAAGGAACCAAAATGAATGTTATGTTGCAGTTGGTTTTTAATATTTGGGTAGGAAATTAGTTTCTTTAACATGAGCCATGTAAAATAAATTACAACGATAATAATTCGCCATGGATTTATTTATTAAATTATACCTTAATTAAATAATTTCGTATTTTCCCAATTTGTTTCCTACATATTTTTTACTGAAAGTTTTCACCATTGTTGGTTTCCACACTTCATAGCCATTTAATGTCGGCGCGAACAGTTTTATTTGCCAACAGCAATGGGTGAAAACTCCCTGCAGCTGGGACTGGCCCGCATAAAGTCAACTCATTATGGAATTACTGCTAGAAACTAAGCTGCCCGAAAGGGAAAGAAAGGCGAGGAATGGAGTGACTGGCAGCGGAGAAAGCCGGCAAGGAAAACAAATTAAATTTAATCGATTTGTGAAAAGCTGCCAGACAACAACAACCAGTGCAGGCACGAAAAGTGAAGTGCCGGGTCCAGACGGGTTGCATGGTAAATTAAGTGAGGGCGTGTCCGCACTCGGGTCTCCGGACTGGCGGACTCCGGACTCCAGGGCAGGATTCAGCTGCAGGAGGCCAGCGAGTAGTTCTCGGCCACTTGTCGACTCTAAGCGCATTCTAAACAAATTAAAATTCAATTAAAAAGATGAAATGGCATTTCAGGGCATGAAAATGCACGAAAGAGTGAGAATTACTGCCAACAGCCATTGGAGAGAAACATTTTCTGGGCGCGTAACTTGGTCTCGGCTAAATGTAGTCACATTCACTTAATTTGGCGGCAAACACGTTAACGCAGTCCACCACCATCATTGACTTTTACATCCCACACAGGGAGAAAACGAATACTGACGTTATTCAAACTAAAGCCCAAAAGGAAAACCATTTGGACTTTTCCGCTTTTTATTCTCCGTGTAGAAAATAGTCACTGCATTCGAGGCCATTAATGCTCCGCTCGTCACTCGAGAGGGGCTCGAGCATCATTTCCAATTACGAGGCCTCAATGCAGACGGCTTAGCGGCTGTCTTCGGCCAAGAATGTCCGCTGATGATTTTTGGTTGTCCCCTCATCAGTGCCAGTCCTCTGGCTGGCCACGGCCATCCATGTGCCAGCTCTCATTACGGCCACTTCTGTGGCCTTTGGCGGGCTTAGCCGCCAACCTCCATTTGCATGGCTGTCGTCCGTGCATTAAAATCGGCGTCCCTCTCAGTTCGCGCCATTACCGATTCTCATTCCCGATTCCCCTTGTCGGATGTTCTTTTCTGCGTCCTAGGTCTGTTTGATTTGGCTTGATGGCCGGGAGCATGTTGTCACTGCTGGTGCCGTAATGAATTGGCTGCGGACCAGCCGGGCTCCTTCTGGGTGATTTCTTTAACTTCAGAATCCTTGAAGATTTTACGCTGATTAACATATGAAACTTTCCTTTAAAAAGAATGTCGAGTTCAGTGCCAATATATGTATTTACACCGTGTTCTCAGGAACTGCAGATGCTAGTTATGCTTACGCAGCGCCAGTTAATTAATTTGGGCTCAGATCCTAAAATTCTGTCTAGACATGGTAGAGAAATGATTTTGGGAGGTAGTTGATCAACATTTGACGACACAATAAATTTTTAAAATCAATCAATAATATCAGAAGTTATTAAGATATATAAGAGTACAACGTGAGCTCAAGCGGATAAATACCTTTAGTCAGATGACGCCACAAATTTTTTCACTTCAAATTGCAGAGCACCAAAAAATTAAACCGCAATTAAAACAAGAAAGAAAAGCTAACTTCGGGCGGAGCCGAAGTTGATATACCCTTGCAGAATATTATGTACATTATATTCTCCAAATTTATTCATATGATGCATTCTTAATACTCATAAAAAATCCCAACTTCCTAAGTTAAAAAACACCAAAGTTATGGCATTACCGATAAATCAGTTATATGGCAGCTATAGGATATAGTCGGCCGATCCTTATGAAATTTGATAGGTCTCACTGATTGGCTAAAAATAAAACCCATAGAAAATCCCAACTTCCTAACTTTACAAACACCAAAGTTATAGCATTTCCGATCAATCAGTTATATGGCAGCTATAGGATATAGTCGGCCGATCCTTA